GCCCTTTCACAAACCAAATTAGCCACGGCTTGTAAATTGGATCTGTAAATCATGAAATTACACCAAACTATGCCAATTGAGCAAGTTTAACTACCAGCGGTACTTACCGTACTTTCCTAATATCAGCCATCGCGTCAGCTAGCTCTTCATGAAGTCCACCATAGCTATGAACCATCTGCCAGAAAGCTGCGGATTTTGCTACAAGTCGGGTGGATAAGCGCGAATCGACCACATCATGAAACGACTCCAGACTGGCACTCAGCAGCATATAGTCCCGAAACGAACCGTGTGGCTGAAACCAGAACGAAATTTCCGATTCTGATGGGGTCACCTGACAATAAAATTCATTACGTTGCGTCCATCAGCTTCTTCATGTGGGATGGAAACTACCGTTCGGCCACATCTCGTCACCGTAAGTGGATCTGTAGCGCCTTTTGGTGGAACAATGAACATTTCGGTAAACGTTCGCTCATCTGACAAATGAAACAATGGATCCATCAGCATCTGAAACAGTCTGATCTCCACTTTCAACAAGTCCCTAGCGAAAAGTAAAAAGGTGGAGAAGTAAGAGGTGGCGCCGCTATTGCAAACATGATCATATCCGAAGTATAACCTCGCCCAAGCCAAACAGACCTTCCAGCCTATTTAGTGATGGTTACCTAATATCAGGCTTGCCTGCAGGATAGAAATACTGGGTTCCAAAAAGGAGGGCACTGAAAGTGAGCATATGGGCCTGATAAGAGTTATAATAGCTATCGATTCTGTACAACCCGCTCGAGCTCCAGCGGGTTGTACAGTATCGATAGTAATCCAAATACGCGACTGGGTGTAAGAGCTGTGCCGAGCCAGTAGACCCATAAGCAATACGAACCAAGACAAATTCGAAGGTGTGGCGTATCTCAGCAAAAAAGAACTGGCAAAGTGCCAAGAAGTCATATTTTAGAAGGAGCGCATTGTGGGGGCTCGGCGCAACCCTTTCAGAGCACATCGTCGTCTCTTCAAATTTTCTTTCGATATCGATATCGAAATCTCATATAAATTACTTTTATCGCTCGAGTTTTGAGTACTATATATCACCCGAACGCGGGTTCCTTTGATTCGAATGTTTCGTCTACTTTACACCTGGTGAGAAAGCTGTCCTCCACCCTCACCACAAAACAACAGCTGCACTCTTGCCTCTCCCGAAAAACGAACACCACGTTCAATACGTTTACGAACACTCTACTATGCTGCACAATCATTCGTTAAAATATTTGGCATCCAGAAAATTGCCACCTTATCTTCAACAACGCCTTTCTATTACCAGTGATGACAGCAATATGATTTATTGGTGAGTACTTGTTAGACATTTCATTGCTGATACCCTAGACCTATTATGGACCACTTGTTTCTTTTCGTTTTCAAAAA